TTAAAGTTTATATGAACATTTGCAAAGTCTTAACAGTTTTGTTGCACCCATGAGATAGGTGAATATATTTCTAAGAATGATGCAATACGTAGGGACAACTGTTATTTCAAAGATCTGGGATATGGGCTAGAAGGACAAGTAATAAATGATTGATCGGTTCATCGCTAAAGGAGCAGGCAGAGACTTAGGAACCTGGATGAAATTGATACTTTGGAGAAAGTAATCTCTTCCTATTTTCAGTACTCTATTCTGTGTCCAGTTCTCAAGATCTCTATTCTTGATACTCTTATACTTAGTACTGTTTTCAGTGCCCTGTTCTCAGTTAACCCTATTTTTCGTACCCTGTTCTTAGTACTCCTATTGTTGATAGCCTGGTTGCAGTATTTCTGTACTTAGTACCCATTTCTTAGGACCCTTTTCCTACCTGCATGCTTAGTCCCTTGTTCTCAGTACCCCATATACTTAATACCTTGTTCTCTGCATCCTTCTTCTTAGTACCCTGTTCTCACCACCCTTTTTCTTAGTACCCCGGGGGGGGGGGGTAAGATAATAGTGGGGTGTAAGTCTCAGAAAACTTTTGAAATGATTTGAACTATGTTGAAGTTTAAGTCAGTGCTCTGGAATGGAACTTCTGGTTACAAATACCTGTTCTATCACTTACTGGCTGTGTGGCCTTGAATAAATAGGTTATTGCACTCTCTTAGCATCAGTTTCTTCATCTGTAAAATGAGCATTAAATAGTACCTTGTTTATAGTGTTGCTGTGACTGTGTGACATATCCCATGTTGAGTGTTTACACCGTGTCCAGCAGATAGTAAAAGTTGACAAACCTTAGCCATTATTGTCATGTCAGTGGTATTTTTTGAGGTTCTTACAGAAAAACAGTTATTTCTTCTTATGTGTGCTATGTAATCACTGAGTGTAGAGAAAAATTGAATTTTGTTATATGTGATCCAGAAAATAATTTTAAAACTAAAAGTTTTTCTAGGATGTATTCTGAGTCTTTAAGTTTCTTAGTTCAGTCTGACCTTGAAGTGCCCCATTGCTAAAATTTTTAACTGTAATTGTTGGCGATTGTGATGTTCTAAATAGTTCTAAAATCTTCAGTTACCTGTGTGTCACACTTAATTCACAGTGTTAGGGTTCTGAGTGACTCCTCTTTCCCTTTTATCCCAGTAAGTCCTTATCTGTTTGGGGTAAAAGACTTCTTTGAGAATCTGATGAAATCTAATTAAGACTCTCCTAGAAAATTTCACACGTGTTTAATTTTACATACTAATTCATGGGTTCAGGACTTATGTAATCCTAGGTTTAAAACCCTCTCAATCCATATCCTCACCTTGCAAGATAATTTATGTTGCCAAATTTCAGATTATAAAGATTTATGGAAATACGCTTCTCACTTAATACAGAATGAAAATTAGTAAAGATGATTAAGTTTGTCCTTCAATATGTTCCAAAGATACTAATTCACTTCAGAATTCTTTAGAGAGGGAGAAGATAATACTTCTTTTCAAAAAAGTAGTTCACCTATGGCTACTTTATCTATTTATTTTATATGTACAGTTTGAGAAAAATGTATAAAAGGCAAATAAATATTGAATTAGAGCCTCCCTCTGTGACCCCTCCAAAAAATAACCGTAATGAGTTTACTATTTTATTATTTATATACCTATTTTTTAAAGAGACAAATCTCACTCTGTTGCCCAGGCTGGCCCTTGAACTCCTGGGCTCAAGCAATCCTCTTGCCTCAGCCTTCAGAGTAGCTAAGACTATAGACACTCGCCACCTTACCTGGCTTTTCACTATTTTAAAATACTTTGCATGACTTTCTTAGAGAAGAGAATTAAGCTATAAACAACAAATAATAACCTCCTATACCGTTTATCTTATGTTGTGACATTTTATCAGTTCTGAGGAGGTTACAAGAGTTGGGCTAAGTGTACAGAAGATAGCTAACATTGCCAGTCAGGGTATAATAAGAACCAACTATGTAGTCCTGTTTTAGTAGTTCAGAGGGGGATAAATCACTGTAGGCTGAGAGATGCTCTGGAAAGGTCTTGAAGAGGAAATATGACCCGGTATAAGTCAGAAAGGGTGGCTCCTAGTTTATGCTTAATCAGCTAAGTTTCTTATGTGACAGACACCACACTAAGCTGCACATGGAGTCTCACAACCCTTCAGCAATGAGATAGGTACTGTTTTACATATGTGGAAACTGAGGTACAGAGCATTTAAGTAACTTGACCTAGGTCATACAGCTATGAGTACTGTATTCAAATGCAAGCAATCTTATTCTAGAGCCTTCACTTTTGCCCCCATACTGCACTGCTTCCTTAGAATTCTGGTAGGCAAAGGGAAAAGAAAGGGAAGTGAGAATACAGAAGACACTTTTGTAAAGGTAGCAAGTGGACCATTCTAGCAAAAATGGAACAGGTTTGTGGAAAATTGACGTGAGATCAGTTTGGAAAGATAGGTTGATTGTTAATTTGTGTGTGTTCTTGATGCTAGGCTATGGGATTTGGGTTTGGAGTCTTTAATTGAAGTTTTCTAAAGCAGTCCTACCCTAATGGAGTGTATTAAGGTTGAGGGTCTGTTGTTAAGATTCTTTTTTTTTTGAGTTACAGTAGGACTTATAGGTGATGTTGATGTCTTCTGCCATGTTGTTAGCAGCAAGATTAAACATTAAGGTATTTAAAATTAATATTTCTTACACAAATCAAGGTTTAATAAGAAACAAGTGTGTATCTAATTCATGTATCTAAGAACTGTGCTATATGAGAAACACATAAAGGGACTAGGGATAAAAGAATTGACCTATGCGGATTGGGATCATTATCGTTAAATATATAAAAAACCATCATTTGGAAGAAGCAGTAGATTGTTACTACATAATGCTGAACTGGAACTCTTAGGAAAATACCACAAGGAATATGTATTTCAGCACAACTTAAGTAACTTAAGTAAAAGCTGCTTAAATGTTAGTTCTATTCAAAACCAGATGAAGTACCTCAAAAGTTGGTAAACTTCTTAGGACAAAAAACATTGAAAATTTTTGAAAAGAGAGTTCCAACATTTGTAGAAGTTTGGACTAGAGATTCAAGATTATATGCACGACAAGCTGTTATAATTTTGTGATATTAACCTTCTGAATCTACTTAGTGCTTTGTCTAAGGTTGTGGGGATAGAGGGTACTATGCCATCAGGCCAATTTCAGCCTCCCATTTATTGTGCACATAAAAATCAGAGAGTCTTGTAAGTAAAGTCAACTCTTTGGAGAGGGAGGGAGGAAGAAATTATTTTTATTTCCTTTAGGCATTAGAATCCTCCTTTTACAATTTTTACATTTTGAAGCCTAAACTGTGTAGGGATGGAACATTTCTGTAACATCAGGTTGATAGACTTATAATGAAAAAGGTAAAGGGATATTCTCATAGCAACTCAGAGGCCATTAGAGAGAAGGCCAAGAGGAAAAAACAGCTTAGATAATATTCTAAATAAAAAACAAAGAGATAAAATTTATGTAAGGTATGGCTTCATGGTAAAACATTTGTAGTTTCACATTTGTTCAGTAAGAATTTTTAGATATGGTCAGTATTTTATTATGATTTTATCAGAGTCAGAATGTTTCAATTAACTAAATATTTTGTTATGTCAGGAAAATTGCAAGTTTTTAAGATTCTGTCAGGTAAGTGGGGGTACCTATTTGGTATTAAGTGCTGCTGATTTTGTTTGGGTAATGGTACCTTTTTAGGACTTACATATTTTGTCCATACTGGTGGCTGAAGACTATTTATATCAGTGCTTTTTGGCTTTTTCAAGCCAATTTATAATTTTCTCTTAGTCACTTGCAAACATTGAAAGCTTTAGTTATCTAATTCTTCTTTAAGCAATATCTTACTGCTCCCCTCAATTTGTTTTGTTTGTTAATTGAGCAAAAAACTGTCAATTGGATGTCTCATTAAGTAATATATAAATTGCCTCTTAGTTCATGTAGTCCATCCAAAGGCAGGCAGACTCTAATTTGGCCTTGATTGCTTTATAATGAAGAGAATGTTCAATTCCACTTGGCATTTTTTTGTAGTATTAAAAATAGCTCAAGCCGGGCTCGGTGGCTCAGCCTGTAATCCCGCGCCTTTGGGAGGCTGAGGTGAGTGGATTGCCTGAGCCCGCGGGTTCAAGACCCTTCTGGGCAGAGAGACCTCATCTCTACAATAAATCAAAAAATCAGCCGGGCATGGTAGCGCATGCCTGTAATTCCGGTACTTGGAAGGCTGAGGCGGAAGGATCGCCGGAGCCCAGCAGGTCAAGGCTGCGGTGGCTGGGAGCGGCCACTGCACTCCAGTCTGGGCAACAGAGTGAGACTCTAACTCAAAAAAAAAAATAGTTCACACATATCTCTGCCCTGCTCTTATTAGTCCACCTCTAAGAGTTTGATATCACCCCACCTCTGACCTATCATTAATTTTGAGACCCTTCAAGAGAGTAAAAAACCCAGGTTGAAAATCCTGGAGAGAGAGGGAGTAAGGAGTTTTATATAAAATTAACTGCCATCCAGGTATAGTGGCTCACGCTTGTGATCCCAGCACTTTGAAAGACCGAGGTGAGAGGATTTTGTACTGAACCCAGGAATTCAAGACCAGCCTGGGCAACTTGGTGATACCTTGTCTCTACAATAAATCAAAAAAATTAACTGGGCATGGTGGCATATGCTTGTAGTCCCAGCTACTTGGGAGACTGAGGTGGAAGGATTGCCTGAGCCTGGGCAACAGAGTGAGACCACAACTCAAAAAAAAAAAAAAAAATCAAATTAACTGCCAATACCTTGCCTGTGATAACAAGCTGTTTTCTCTAAGTTTTACAGGGATTGAACAAGAAGGAAGAAAAGCAAAGACCTCCTCATTACATCGTTAAAATGCCTGTAATCATGATTATATTAACTGTTAACCATTTGCATTTTTATCATTTATTCCAGGAAAGTGCAGATAACATACTCTCCATTGTTAAACAAAGAACAGGGTCTTTTGGGGATCGACCTGCAAGACCTACTCTTTTAGAACAAGTGTTAAATCAAAAAAGACTGGTAAATATCTGTTTGTAAGGTAGTTACAAATCTATTAACAAAGATTGCTTGGTATAAATGGAACTATTTAGATTTTTGAGATTTTAAAACTTGTTAAACTGGTTATTGGGATTGAATTGTACTTTTTTGCCAGTAAACACTGGAATCTCATAAATGCTCTCCCAAGACTATAAAATCAGGAGCACATTTAATCCTTTCCTTTTCATTGCCTAAACCTTGCATATCTGAGCAAAATGGGTTTTAGTAAAAGGCAAAAGAGTTACATGATCTCAAGAGAGACCAGAGTATAAGATGGGATTTTAGAGTCCTCTTTTATACTGAATTCTGGAGTTTTGGGGACAGTGCTTTAATGATAGAAATGTATAATTTGGCCAGTATTGAATAAGAATCTATTATAAACGTGATAGAAGGCATCAGAACTCAATCAGAAAAAGAAAGACTGTTTAATAAATACTGGAATACTTGGATAGTAATTTAAAGGCAAAAAAAGAATTTAGCTCATCATATCACATTATACATCAAATAAATTCCTAAGTCTTAAATTTTTAAAAAAATAATTGGAACTTTATCTTTAAAATCTGCAATGAGTTTTTTTCATCCTAAGTAGACAAAATTCCAAAGAAACAATTATAAATTTGACTACTTAAAAATGAATGCTATAGTCAAAAATGGTGGCAATGATCAAAATGCAAAATGACATAGGAAAAACATTAGAAAAAATATTTTTAAAACTATGGTTAATATGGTTAGTATTTTTGTTGTATAAAATATTCCTGAAGGCCTGCCACAGTGGCACATGCCTGTAATCTCAGCACTTTGGGAAGCTGAGACAGGCAGATTGCTTGAGCCCAGGAATTCGATACCAGCCTGGACAACATAGCGAAACCTCGTCTCTATAAAAAACTTTAAAAATTAGCCAGGTATGGTGGTGCAGGCCTATAATCTTCGCTACCTGGGATGCTGAGATGAAAGGATTGTCTGAGCCCAGGAGATTGAGTCTGCCATGAGTTGTGATCATTGTGATCATGCCACTGTACTCAAGCTTGGGCAACAGAATGAGACCCCTACTCAAAAAAAAATTCCTATAATTTGATGGGGAAAAACTTTGGCCTCAATACGTTGCAAAAGATAAAAACAAGAAAAGCAGAAATACTACTATTAAATAATATGAAAAGGTATTCAGTATCAGTAAAAATAACACAATTAAACAATAACAAGCAAAAATTACTTCAGTGATTATGCATAATGTTGAAAGTTCCATGAAATGGGAATGTACTGAAGATGACTCTCTATATTGATATAGCACTTTTAGAAAGAGTTACACAGAATATACCAGGAATCATTCAAATAATCATCCCTTTTGACTCAGACCTCATGTTTAATATGAAGACATTCATAGAAATGTATCATAAATAGCAAAAGAGTAGTTAAAACAGCCTACATGTTCAACAGTCTCATAACAGATAAGTAGATTATTATACATTTACTTAATGGGATGTTGGACAGACTTTACAAATGATTTTTAAACACAACTATTTATAGAAAATGTAGCATGATATAATACATATAATCTTAAAACCAATATTTAATTATAGTATTTACATTATATTTGGTTTATCTTTTCTCAACTTTTTGGGCCCCCAATTTTTTTCCTTACCAGTTTATATAAGTGTTTTATTATAATAAAAATAAATTAATCATAATCTGTTACATTTGTTATATGATTGCAAGTATATTTCAAAATGGTAAATGTACAAAAATGTATTGGTTGTTTTAGAGCAGTTGTATTCTTTCTGAAATTTTGGTAGTGTGCTAATACTACTTTTATTTATATGGTATATATGCACATGCATACTTATACACACACATTTTTTATTTCTTCATGAAGATGTAGTCAGCTAGTGGGAGACTTGAATTCCAGTACTAATATATATGTATGTACAAAGTGCCATTTAATTGGCATTTTTACATGTGACTCCCTTTCATTTCCATTTTTTTCTTAATGTAATCCTGGGACAGTGCTCTTTTTAGCTGTTTTCTCTTATGTGTCTTAGCAGGGTACGTTTGCTGGCATAGCATGGAAAGCATTTCCTTTGTGCATAGTCACAATTAACATCAGGCTTCACCCATTAATGTTAGATTTTAGTTATTTTGATGTATGACATCAAATTTTATTATTGTTTTCAGCTTAATTGCAGGGCATCAGATGGAAAAGTGAATTCACTTTAGGCATGTTTGGTTTTTAAGCATATGTATTGTATCTTGTGTCAGGACACATCAGTAATTCCATAGCATGAATGCAATCTAATCCTGTAAGAATAACACTGTTAATGATTTTTTTCTTTTCTCTTTTTAAAGTCATTACTAAGAAGTCCAGAAGTAGTGCAGTTTTTACAGAAACAGCAGCAACTATTAAATCAGCAAGTTTTGGAGCAAAGACAGCAACAGTTTCCAGGAGCATCAGTATGAGGAAACTTGTCAAAAGGATCTATGTGTTTTTTTATCTTATTGTAAGAACTGAACATATTTTTATACTAAAGATAAATGGGTAATATATGCCAGTAGAATATAAACATTTTCCTGTAAATGTGTGTGTGCATTTGAAGATAAATAAGTATTGCACTTTGTGCTTCTAATCCTTTCAGATCACCATGAGTTTGAAGAAATTAGTTTATCTTTCCAAGAGAACATTTAATTAAAATTTATTTTTAAAATATGTTCCTCTTCAGTCATTGTTACTGAAGGTAATGAAGCAGTTACTTTCTGTGGAAGTCATGAAGTTAATAGATGTTAATCTTGAATCATCTAGTTCACTGGTTCTCATCAAGGGAAAGCTGGAAATATCTGGATCTGTTTTTTGGTTGTGATAGTGACCTTGAAAACGGCTGGGTTTTAGTGAGTGGGCCAAGAATAAGAAATGTTCTGTGATGTCTGATATAGTCCAACACACTAAGAATTCTCTCACCCTCAATGCCAATAATACTCCTCTTAGGAAACATTGATGACTATTTGTAGTGACAGCATATAGTTGGGGCACCTAGAATTGAGTTCTTGTAATAACCCTTCTTTGCAGTTAAGACTGGAGCTGTCCAAGAGGTAAGCATATTTTATATTTATAAGGAAAGTGATAATTGTTTAGTATCTATGAAACTAGAATGTGCATCTCTTTTCAGAGATGTGTTGGTAAAATGTGAGAGATGGATTAAGTGCACTGGAATGAATGCATCTCCTACAGTTGGCCTTTCTATTTCATGTTGCCTATTATTATGATAATTTTTGAAGCAGATACTCGTGTGTTGAATTTATAAACTGCATAGAACTCAGCCCATCAATGCCAGGACAAAATTATTTTTCTTATACCCATTTTTCACTGAAGAATATGAGAAAGATATTCTTTTCAAAAAGGAGAACCTGAAAATAAGAATAACATTCTAGCATTTTGTCATTGTTTTTCAAAATTGAGCTATTTAAGACTGTTATTCCCAAGTAATGTTCAAAAATGATAGGTCATCTGAAGAGACACTTTTTTCTTGTATTTCCACCTAGAAAAACTTTAAAAAGGCAAACCTATCATTAAGAATTACAAATTAAATATCAAGAAAGTATATCCAGTATTAGGATGATAAATGTATATGTCTCCAGTTTAACTGTCAAAATTTGTTGCTTACCTGCTTTTTAAACTCTGAAATATATATCAAGTTAAACTTAGTCATGGCTGTTTTAAGAAGTACTCATGGAGAGAAAAAAATGTCTTTGTTCATTTTGTGTTTTATACCCGCATATGTTCAAAAACTTTCTTACCAAAATTATTTATTAAAGTAACAGTTGTTGAACTTTGAGTTGTTTAATTTCCTTATTCTATTCTTTAGTTTCTTCTCACTGGATGCAGAGGACTCCATCTACTATTTGTTACTGGTAGTTTATTCTCGTACTCACAGCATTGGGAGCTTAATTAAACCCCTAGAGTTTAAGTTAACGTTTATGATGAAAAAAATCAGCTTGTGCTTCTTCGGGTAGAATAAGAGAAATAGCAAAGAAGAAAAAGTAGTAAACCAGTAAGAGCTAAATGAAAAGGGATTGAATTTATATATTTATAAGAATGCTGTGATGACTAGTAGTTGTCAAACTCTAGAGTGGGTAATTGAGAGACTCAGAATCTTTTCCCCAGGATATTTTTAAAAATAAGGTAGCTGACCACTTATGAATTTGGATGGAATAGGACAGTATTCAACACAATCTAATTACTGTCTGCCACGTAGTAATTGTTGTACTTTATAAAACTACCAGTAGAGCAATAAGATTTATTTTGTCGATTTATTGTACTGTGTCCCCAGTTTTTCACCCCTCCATGTATTCATTACCTCTACCATGTGATTTTGCAACTCCTATCCCTTGAGCTCGAGTTTATTTACCTACTTCTTAAGTTGAATGACTGATCTTGTGTCTTGATTTGGCCTATAGAATGCATAGGAAATGATAACATCCCTGCCCTGAATAGACTTCTGAAAATTTTGCTGCAAAAGTGATACCACACAACCCAAAGGTGCATTGTAAAAATTAAATGAGAACACGTTTGAAAAACAAAAACATTATGTATGTAAAGAATGTTAGCAATTTCAAGCATTTCAAGAATACTAGAAATTCTTGATATGCTAAAACAAAACACAAGGTTTCCTAAAAGAAATCATCGACTCTGCTGTCACAGTTATAACTAGAGATGAGCGGTTTGATCAGGCTAACAGCTCACTTCAGCCTTTTGACTCTGCTTAAAGATCACTTTTCTCTGAACTAATATGTAGTCTCTTTGATATTTTTATTTATATTCTTTGTTATTACCAAGAAAAGTAATTTGATCAAATTCTGACAACCCTGTTAAGACTGTAATGGATAACTTAAAGTTCTTAGTGATTGAACAAAGTTTAAAACAGTCATTCTTCAGTGGGACCCTGCCACCCCCCAAAGGGAAGGAGCTTTAAATTTTAATCATTTTTATAGCCTATCATATATTTCTCAAGTAATTCATGAAGACTGATATAGGTAATAACCATTTTAGTCCTCAAAGTAGCTAAAAATTAAGATGGGAGTAGCAAGCAATTTTAGAACAAAACATGTTTCCTTTAAAAGAGTTTTCTAGGTTGGGTTATTTTGTTGTTTAATTATATAAACACCCCGACTGTGCCAAAGGCACCATTTGGAGAATCAAGTCTAGAATGAAACATGTCCAATTAATCCTGCCCAAGCCAGTGTGGGTGCACTGTCTGGAGGCTGGAATAGGGTAAGGGATGGGCAGGTGAGGAGGGCCACCAAGGAGGAAGGGAAGGATCTTATAGGACCTTGAATCAGTCATTTTTATTGGGAATACAAATCAGATAAACTTTTATCAATGAAAAATCCACCCAAAATTAACCAAAGACCTGAGCACAGCCTAGTTAAAGTGGGTCTGATGTAAACGATTTCAATCTATTGACAACTTCAAAAATTTCCACTCACATTTCAGTAACATAAATTAGGATTTTTTGATTCGGCCACATCCATACCAATGAATGTAATTTTCATTTGACATGTATTTATCCAGCCCCAACTGTATACTAGGTACTGTGGAACCAGCAGAGCAGCCTGAGGCTCTTCTCTGCTTCCAACTTCCTTACACATATGTATGGAAGGCTGACAATACAGAAATATTGTCAAAACAAGAAAGGAAATGTCCTGAACTGGAATTGGGACCTGAAGGAAAGGCACGATTTGGATTGCTGGATAAAGGGCAAGGGAATTTTTGATATAAGGACGGAAAATGAACCAAAGTTTGTGAACAGACTACATGGTAGTGAAGAACATGTGTGCTAGAACCAGACAGACCCAGAATCAAACCCAGTCACCGCCTGAGTGGTCTTGGATAAGTGACTCATAGTCTTTAAATCCTGGTTCCCTCGTTTGTAAGAAGAAAACACTGAATGGCTGAGTATCAGATGTTCTCTGTGTACAAAGTGCCCAATAAATATTAGCTCTTAGTGTCTGTGAGGAAAAATTTTAAAAGAGAGGTCAGTATGGCTGTATTTGAGTTTAGACAGAAAGGGAGAGAGGTACAGTTGGGTGGGTGGAGCCTTAAAACAAGCTAGAGGCATGTATTTTACCATCCATGCAAAGCATGGGAGCAAGTGGAAGATCAACAGAAGAAAGTTACAAAGTGGATCCTTGAGGAAAGCACCAAACCCCTCTTCCCACCTAGATGGTAGAAGAATTAGGGCCTGTTCTACTTGGGAAGCAGAAAGTTATTTCTGATTATCCAAATATGTAAATATGTGTGGCCATCTGTATTTGTATGTGCATATAAACTTGTCTTGATAAGTGGAAGCATCTCTGGAAGCTGCTGCCTTTAGGTATATTTCTTCCCCACCTAGCAGGAAGCTGCTGCAGCTTGTGTGGGAAGAAGGACCTCTGGAGACAAGTGTCACCTTCAGGACCTCCCCTCTTTCTCTCCCCTTCTCTAAAAATGATGGGTTTCAGATTCAAGCAGCTGTTTGGCTTTTGTCTCATGACTTAAAGAATACTTGCTTGTTTTGAAATTTGTGGCATAATCTGATTTTTTTTCATAGCCAGAGGAGGGCAGGATGATGACACAGGGACCATTTGCTTTGAAAACATTATAAAAGTCTTCCGTGGCTAGGCACAGTGACTCACGGCTATAATCCCAGCACTTTGGGAGGCACAGGCAAGAAGATTGCTGGAGCCCAGGGGTTTGAGACCAGTCTGGGCAACTTGGTGAGACCTCATCTGTACAATAAATGAAAAAGATTAGCTAGCTGAGCATGGTGGCATGTACCTGTAAGTCCAGCTACTTGGAAAGCTGAGGTGGAAGGATGACCTGAGCCCAGCAGGATGAGGCTGCAATAGCCATGAGCGTGCCACTGCACCACTCCAGCCTGGGCAACAGAGTGAGACTCTGACTCAAAAAAATTCCCCCTTCCTGAAGTGACTATGATTTCATACATTTTATCCATCACTCACAACATCTGGCAAACAAATTTAGTTCTGTCATTTTGAAGGTTTATTTTGGTTTCCTGAGGTCATTGTCTAGGCTCTACCATAACATCTTTCAGGTTGTTTTGAACAGCTAAAAGGAAATAAAGCCCTGTAACATGACCATGGAGTCAACGTAAACATGGATAAAGCCATAACAAATTACTCACAAGTTAGTTAATACCCTGCTGGGTGCTGAATAGATCCAGGGTAAGACTGGCGAACTGCTGGGATATAGGCATAAGCTTCCCATGATCCCCCAATCACTCCCCATCATTATGAAAGCACTGCACTCCTGCCCCACATACACACTAGAAGGCAAGAGGCCTAAATCCTTGAAACTTAATTTTTAAAGGGTTGATGATTTCCTCATCAGAATAAAAGCATGTGATTATGGTGTAAACCTTAGCCTCTGTAGATCCCATCTACCTTCCACCAGCCAGAGGCCCTGGTCTGTGACTTCTGACTGCTTCCTTCCTTCCTGTTGCAAAACAAGTTAGTGCTATGCAACGTACAACCAGATCTAAAAGTCACATAAAGTTACTAGCAAAGAAACCTTAGCAGATAGTTCAAATATCTTGTAAAACGAAGGTCACAGAGTCTAATACTTCATCAATTTTGTGGAGGACAGCTAAGAAATACCCAGAAATGCGACACCCTAGGTTAGTAACTTCCCATCTATGTCACAGTACTTCCTCCTGCTAGGTTCATTTTATTCTCCCCACCAAACCAAACAACGCACATGATTACCTACTTTAAAGTTTCCAACTTCTGGATTTTAAAATACTGTATGTGAGCTTTTGATCAATACTCAAAGCCTGAAACAACAGAAAAAATCAGTTCTAAGAAGTTGGACTTGCTTCCTTGTTTTGAGATTTCACGGCAAAACTATCTGATTTGCCTGGTTGGAACAAACTTACACCAAAATAAAATTTTTATCAAGTTCTACTTCTGTTAAAAGGAAGTAGGAGAGCTGATGAAGGAGATGGATGCAGAATCTGCTATTAGCTTTACCACCATCCTCTTCCCCAACTCACCCATCAAATACCAGCCTCATAAGAGCAACAATCACAGGCAATGTTGAATATTAAGTACTAAAAAAAGAGCAGTGGGTTACTGGGGTGGGGGAGGTTGATGCAGATTACCTCACTCCAGGAATGTGCCTTGTCAAATGCCATGCCAAGATGCAACAGCATGCTGTTCTGAGTCCAAATTTCTCAAGTCCATCCTTAAGCTGACAACCAGTCCTTAAAAGCTGATCCTGTAGATTGAAAACTTTTGTGCATTCTGGTTCAAATACTACTTGATATGAAATGCCAATGGTGTGGTGCTGACAGTGATATGATGACAAGAATCCCCTGCAGTCAGCCTCCCATCCACTACACCTCCAGGATATTCTTTATTCCCCAGCCATCTCCAACCACTGCCCATGAAACAGAAGTCTTAGATGCTCCCCTGCAGGTTCCCCAAAGGACAGTTTTTCTTTAACCACTGACGTTTCCTGTAGCACCTGTGATTCTGGGACAAAGCAGCACACTGTGGTCTAGAAAAACATCCTTCAACATGTGCTCCACAAAATAATGGTTCCTCTTAGGGTGATTTGAATTCATTGAAGAAATACATTTGGGACACTCTGGCGAAAGAATTAATAGGATTCCCGACTACAGGGCTTTTTGTTATTGATAGAGCCTTTAAAACACTAACTTTGTGTTAATGTCCAAGACGAAACAAAATAAAGCAAAAACCCTCTACTAGCTTAGACTTTCTGTTTTATGGGGGAATAGCATGCATACATGTGCACACCCTCCCCCCATTGCATTTC